AGCTCAAGATCTTCTATGGCCCATAGAAGAGCTCAAGGTCTTCTATGGCCCATAGAAGAGCTCAAGGTCTTCTATGGCCCATAGAAGAGCTCAAGGCCTTCTATGGTCCCATAGAAGAGCTCAAGGTCTTCTATGGCCCATAGAAGAGCTCAAGGTCTTCTATGGCCCATAGAAGAGCTCAAGGTCTTCTATGGCCCATAGAAGAGCTCAAGGTCTTCTATGGCCCATAGAAGAGCTCAAGGTCTTCTATGGCCCATAGAAGAGCTCAAGGCCTTCTATGGTCCCATAGAAGAGCTCAAGGTCTTCTATGGTCCCATAGAAGAGCTCAAGGTCTTCTATGGTCCCATAGAAGAGCTCAAGGTCTTCTATGGTCCCATAGAAGAGCTCAAGGTCTTCTATGGTCCCATAGAAGAGCTCAAGGTCTTCCATGGTCCCATAGAAGATCTCAAGGTCTTCTATGGTCCCATAGAAGAGCTCAAGATCTGTTATGGGCCCATAGAATAGCTCAAGGTCTTCTATGGCCCCATAGAAGATCTCAAGGTCTTCTATGGTCCCATAGAAGAGCTCAAGGTCTTCTATGGTCCCATAGAAGAGCTCAAGGTCTTCTATGGCCCATAGAAGAGCTCAGGGTCTTCTATGGCCCATAGAAGAGCTCAAGGTCTTCTATGGCCCATAGAAGAGCTCAAGGCCTTCTATGGTCCCATAGAAGAGCTCAAGATCTTCTATGGTCCCATAGAAGAGCTCGAGGTCTTCTATGGTCCCATAGAAGAGCGCGAGGTCTTCCATGGTCCCATAGAAGAGCTCGAGGTCTTCCATGGTCCCATAGAAGATCTCAAGGTCTTCTATGGTCCCATAGAAGAGCTCAGGGTCTTCTATGGCCCATAGAAGAGCTCAGGGTCTTCTATGGCCCATAGAAGAGCTCAAGGCCTTCTATGGTCCCATAGAAGAGCTCAAGGCCTTCTATGGTCCCATAGAAGAGCTCAAGGTCTTCTATGGTCCCATAGAAGAGCTCAAGGTCTTCTATGGTCCCATAGAAGAGCTCAAGGTCTTCTATGGTCCCATAGAAGAGCTCAAGGTCTTCTATGATCCCATAGAAGGGCTCAAGGTATTCTATGGTCGCATAGAAGAGCTCAAGGTCTTCTATGGTCCCATAGAAGAGCTCAAGGTCTTCTATGGTCCCATAGAAGAGCTCAAGGTCTTCTATGGTCCCATAGAAGAGCTCAAGGTCTTCTATGGTCCCATAGAAGAGCTCAAGGTCTTCTATGGTCCCATAGAAGAGCTCAAGGTCTTCTATGGTCCCATAGAAGAGCTCAAGGTCTTCCATGGTCCCATAGAAGATCTCAAGGTCTTCTATGGTCCCATAGAAGAGCTCAAGATCTGTTATGGGCCCATAGAATAGCTCAAGGTCTTCTATGGCCCCATAGAAGATCTCAAGGTCTTCTATGGTCCCATAGAAGAGCTCAAGGTCTTCTATGGTCCCATAGAAGAGCTCAAGGTCTTCTATGGTCCCATAGAAGAGCTCAAGGTCTTCTATGGTCCCATAGAAGAGCTCAAGGTCTTCTATGGTCCCATAGAAGAGCTCAAGGTCTTCTATGGCCCATAGAAGAGCTCAGGGTCTTCTATGGCCCATAGAAGAGCTCAAGGTCTTCTATGGCCCATAGAAGAGCTCAAGGCCTTCTATGGTCCCATAGAAGAGCTCAAGGTCTTCTATGGTCCCATAGAAGAGCTCGAGGTCTTCCATGGTCCCATAGAAGAGCTCGAGGTCTTCCATGGTCCCATAGAAGATCTCAAGGTCTTCTATGGTCCCATAGAAGAGCTCAAGATCTGTTATGGGCCCATAGAATAGCTCAAGGTCTTCTATGGTCCCATAGAAGAGCTCAAGGTCTTCTATGGTCCCATAGAAGAGCTCAAGGTCTTCTATGGTCCCATAGAAGAGCTCTAGGTCTTCATCTATCATTTGGTTCCTAATACTAATCTCCTACCACTTTTACTGAACTCCCTGGCACTTTTGCCTTCACCTTTCCCATTTCACACTTTTTCCCCGTTGCCAATCCAAATATTTGACTTAAGGTTCGTTTGTATTTTTTTCGGAATAAAGGAAATACTGCCTAGACTTGTGTACGTGTTTATCGAAATTTCCCCCATACCCAAAAAAAACAGACGTTTAAAAAATAACCCATTTCCATTTTCCAGTTGTTTCACAAAAAACATTTTTTGTTTTTTGATATCCAAACGAAATACAAATACAACAACAAAACAAATCCATTGAAGAAAACATTTACAAAGGGCAAGGATTCCTGGGTTTTGTTGGTTTCCTAGTAAAACCCATTAGCATTGCGACCACAGGGTGCTCGCTCAGTCTGTGTGCACACGCATGCGCTAAGGTGGCGGTTCATAGCTGATAACGAACGGCAGACGCGGCTCAAACAGAAGTAGCAATTCCAAATAGCCGTCTATTACCTACTGGGGTTTACTCGTTCGGGTGAGAGTGTGCGTGTGTGTTGTTTGTTTATTTGTTTTTGTTATTTTTTCGTCATATATGATTTTGTTTCGAGAGACGGACAGACGGACTGACATCCAGCCAGCCAGTAACTCGTATATGCTCGCAGTACTCTTGGTGAACATAAAAAAAATAATCTACGTAGAGTTCGTCCCCTGGAATGTATGTAGGTATGTCTGTCTGTCTGTATGTCAGTGAGTTCGTCCGTTCGTTCGTCTGTTTGTCTGTCATTATGTTTTAAGCCAAAGGCTGGAGCTAAACATTTTTTCTCGGTTGACAGCAATACCAGTTGACTACACGACGATTTGGTAGCTTTTGTTTCGATGGGCAGAACGAATGAACGACCGACTGAAAAATAATCTATGACCATAGACCACATCGGAGAGTCGAACTCATTTCAGCAATTCATCGCCGTAAATATGCTACACGAGACGGGAGCACAGTGGTTATAAAGATTGTAACAAGACGGAATAAAATTTTTACAAAAACTGCTAGGCTATGGAGTCTAGAAGACCTCTAAGACCTCTTAGTCTTCTATGAAGCATGGTAGACCTATAGGTCTTCTATGGAGCATGAAAGACCCTAGGTATCCTAAGGAGAATAGAAGACCTCAAGGTCTTCTATGTAGAATAAAAGACCTCTTGGTCTTCTAAGGAGAACAAAAGACCTCGAGGTCTTCTAAACTCCATAGATGACCTCCAGGTCTTCCATGCAGTCTAGAAGACTTCTAGCTCTTCTATGGAGACCATGAGACCTCTAGGTCTTCTATGGAGACCACGAGACCTCTAGGTCTTCTATGGAGACTAGAAGACCTCTAGGTCTTCTATAATCTTGAAGACCAATAGGTCTTCTATAGTCTTAAAAACATCTAGGTCTTCTATGGAGTCTAGAAGACCTCTAAATCTTCTATAGATAATAGAAAACCTCTTGGTCTTCTATGGAGTCTAGAAGACCTCTAGGTCTTCTGTGGAGTCTCGAAGACCTCTATGTCTTCTGTGGAGTCTCAAAGACTTATAGGTTTTCTGAGGAGTCTCGAAGACCTCTTGGTCTTCTATGGAGTCCAGATGACCTCTAGGTCTTCTATGGAATACATAAGTCCTCTAGATCATATGTGGAGTCTCGAGGACGTCTTGGTCTTCTGTGGAGTCTCGAAGACCTCTAGGTTTTCCTCTTGGTCTTTTATGGAGTCCAGATGACCTCAAGGTTTTCTATGAAGTCTAGAAGACCTCTGGGTCTTCTTTGGACTCAAGAAGACCTCTACGCCTCTAGGTCTTTTATGGAGTCCATGAGACCTCCAGGTCTTATATGGAGACTAGAAGACCTCTAGGTCTTCCATTATCTTGCAGACCAATAGGTATTCTATAGTCTTGAAACCTCTAGGTCTTCTATGGAATTTAGAAGATCTCTAAGTCTTCTATGGAGAATAGAAGACCTCTTGGTCTTCTATGGAATACAGAAGTCCTCTAGGTCTTCTGTGGAGTCTCGAAGGCCTCTACGTCTTCTATGGCATACAGAAGTCCTCTAGGTCTTCTGTGGAGTCTCGAAGACCTCTAGGTCTTCTATGGAGTCCAGATGACCTCAAGGTTTTCTATGAAGTCTAGAAGACCTCTGGGTCTTCTATGAAGTCTAGAAGACCTATGGGTCTTCTATGAAGGCTAGAAGACCTAAAGGTTCTATGCAGTCAAGAAGACCTCTAGGTCTTCTATAAAGTCTAGAAGACCTCTAGATCTTCTATGGAGTCTAGAAGACCATTAAGTCTTCTATGGAATCTAGAAGACCTCTAAGTCTTCTATGGAGTTTAGATGACCTCTACGTCTTCTTTGGAGTAAAGGAAACCTCTAGGTCTTCTATTGAATATAGAAGACCTCTAGGTCTTATAGTTATGTGAAGTTCAGAAGACCGCAAGGACCTCTAGATCTTCTATGGAGTGTAAAAGACCTCTAGGTCTTCTATGGAGCATGGAAAAGAAGACCTCATGGTGTTATATAGATAACGGAAGACCCAAAGTCTTCAATGGAGTGTCCACCCCTGAGCCACTGTTCTCGACCACAGAAACACATCAGCAGCTCGACTTCAATACCCTCGCATTTATGTATGGGCCAAGCCAGCAAGCATCAGACTCTTGAGACAACACAAACCAGTTCGGCCGTTCGTTCATTTAGTCGACTAGCAGTAATAGCTTACGGGCAACAAAACAGGTATAACGAACAGACACACTCACATCACTCGGCTACCAACAAAAACATAAATTGTTGTTAGTAGAGAAACCTTATTGGAGGCTACAGACGACACATGGAACGAACGAACTGCCAACTAAAGCAGATATGACAAGATCTTTTGGCCCAAAAGAGACAGAGAGCGGGAATGGGAGAGCAAACAAAAATTGGTAACTCACAGGGAGAGAGAGAGAGGTTTTGTGGTTTATCTGAAAGATAAAAGAGCGGTGTTTACCCAGAGTATAAGCCAGCCATTATTGTTCGGCATGAGAGGCTCATTGCCCCCCAACGGAGATACTTTTCGGTTAGTCTTAAATAGTTGATCGTAGGTAACGCACCTGTAAATTTAAACGGAATATTACAGCAACGTCGGTAGTTAGTTGTTGGATCTCCTCAGGCAATTTATGTACGCTACTCATATTGTTATTGGTGTTGTTGTTTTTGTGATATTATCAATACCTTTGCTACACACATGTCAAGCCATGGTGTTGGTAAATGGAAGAAGAAAAAAATAAAAAAAATTTAACCAGGTGTATGTGTGTGTAAACGCACCAACACACATACACTCCTCGCAACGACGATAAAAGTGGATAAGATTAATGAAATCTGAAAACGAGAAGAAGAAGAAGAAAGAGGAGGAGAAGGAAGAAAAAAAGATTATATTAACAGAAAAATGTGATGAAGAAGAAGATTGAGTTTCAAAAAAAAAATTAAATAAGTTATAACAATAAGCCAAATGAAGCAAGAAGAAGAAAAAATAAGTATGTGAAGTGAATGAGAATTAGAAAGAATAGCTAGTGAAAAATAAATCTTAAAATCTTTGAAGAATCTGAGAATAAATATCTCATACAAAAAATTGAAAAAAAAGTGTTGAAACAACCCACAAAATTGGAGGGGAGTAAAGAAAGTACAAAAAACAAAATATTTATTTCAAATGTGAATTGGATTTAAACGAAAACGAGATCGTTCCAGCACTTGGCCTCCATCGTTGAAAACCCACCGTTTCTGATTTTTTTAAGAAAAAATAAAAAGAGAATTCCCCCCATACCAATGATCTCGGAAAATTGTTATCTCCAATAACGAAGACATCTTCTAAGCAACAACGGCCAGGAGAGGAATACACAAAACAAACGAAGAGAGAAAAGAAGGAAAAAAATTAACTAAAAAAAGTACGTATCTCTTTTTATCTGTGTATGTAGTGGTGTGAATCTATGAGATCTTCTATTGTATCGCTGCGAGACAGTGTTACCAAATTTTATTTTTAACGTGATTTTTCACCTGGAAATCGGTGGATAAGGAAAAAAGGAATGAAAGTCTATTATTTTTCCCCATTAAAGAAATAAGAAATCGGGCGAAAATAGTGGATAAAAATACTGCCCAATAGGGCTTTGAAAAAATTAAAAAAAAGCTCTCAACAGAATAAAGAAAATTGCTGTTGATTACCTTTGAAAGTTTTGCTACAATGCAGAGGAAAGATTTGAAAAATAAATTTGTCTACGAAATATAGAAAATATTTTAATTACATTCCAAAAGATATTGATTGATTTTGTCACATTGACGATTTTTCAGCAACAATTTCAAAACTTTTTTTCAAGAGAGAAAATTTAATATATATATATAACCTCTAATCGAAAACAAAATTTGCTTTTTGTCTTAAAATATCTCGCATATGCTCTCAGTTAATGCCAATAACAATTTTCATAAAATATTTAAAAATCTGTTTAATTCCGCTAAGAGCTCCCGAAGAGTCTTTTAGTTTTTCGTTTAGCCAATATGCTTAGATTTCTTAAAATATACCAAAAATCCAAGATCATATTTTAAATTCAGTACCTATATTGGAGTTTGTCTGAAAATAGATGTTATGTCCATTAAAATTTCAAAATCTGAAACTATTGTCACTTGTACTTGCCTAAACAAAATAGAGCAACTATATAGAAAATGATCTGCACGAAGGGTGTTATATTATAAGTTGAGAATCCAATTTGTATTTAAAAATTACTTAAATTAAGCTCCGAACACTATTCAATATTACGGATTTTTTCAAGACCGAAATTCAGTAAGATTTTGAAAACTATTATTGTTGTACCATTGGCAAGTTTGTTAAAAAGTATTTAGAATGAAATAGAAAAACCAAAAAAAAAAGTCAAAAAACAGCAAAGTCGGCCATGCCGAGCTTTTAAAATCCTCCACTATTTTGAAGGAACTTGAAAAAATTAAAAAAAAACAAGTAAAAAAGCGGTAAGTTCGACCGGCCCGAAAAAAAATTATATGGGGGCTATACGAAGACGTGGACCTGCACAGCCAATTTTCTGTTATAGGCTGTAGTATCCATTACGAACTTCAAATACCAAATTTGAAACAATTCCGGTGAATAAAATAAATCAAAATACCGAATATTATGAGGTTATTATATTTGGGGGCTATACGAAGACGTAAACCTGCACAGACAATTTTCTGTCATAGGCTGTAATATCCATTACGAGCTTCAAAAATGAAATTTGAAACAATTCTGGTGAATAATGTACTTAAATCATCAAACTACCGATTGTAGGGAATTATTGTTATATGGGGGCTATGCAAAGACCTGTAACGACACTTTTTTTCGTACATTGTAGTACCCATTACGAACTTCAACTACGAAAATTGAAATGATTCCGGTAAAAAATATCGCTAAAATCATTAAGATACAGAATATTGGGAGGTACCGCTATGTGGGGGCTATATGAAAACGTGGGCCCACATGCCTCATTTACGAACTTAACCTGCCTGCTGGTAAACTATGCAAAATGTTAGCCTTCTATCTCAATTCGTTCGAAAGATAGCGTGATTACAACAGACGGACAGACGGACTGAATATACACGTATATACTTTGTAGGGTCTATTATAAATATTTCGAGGAGTTACAAACGGGATGACAAAGTTAATATACCCACATAGAATGGTAAAGAGTATAAAAAAATACACTCCTAATGAAACTGAAATTCAACATAAAATTGGGACCTATTAAAGCTGAAATGGGGCAAATCGGTTAAAAAGGTTTAGGAATTGAAAAAATAAAATAAGAAATAGACTATCATCTTTCTCTGTACCTGTTATCTTCCTATATTCTCTAAAATAAATGTTTCTTCCTAAAATAATTAATTTTAAAACAAACAGATACTAAATATGGTGGGAAATTGGAATATCACTTTGTTGCGGAAGTTAACCAAACAAGATAACTCTGTCTTTAAAATAAAACTAGTTAAGGTGTATCAGTCGATTTTTCCGACAGATGTTCGCTTATTTAAATATATTTTGACTTGCGTTGGGGAGGTTCCGACGGTGTGGGTCAATATTGCCCATTTTCATCACTTTATATGAAATATATGATAATATGTGGAAAATAAATTCCATATTCACATCAGATCAGATAGTTAAGAAAAATATTTCTGGAAAATTAATGCAAACGATCAACACTATCTATATGTGTTTTTCAAAATTGAATAACATTTTGAAAAACTTACATAGATTTGCTTGTTTTTTTTTTACTTTGGCAAACATTTTTTTTCGACAGACACTTAAAAATTACTATTTGTGTCTAGTCTTTAAATAAGTGGCAGCAAAATTCTAATTTAAAAGTGCCAAAAAGGCCAGTTCATATGACTTTTAATAAAAGGTTTGAACTAAAGTTGCCTATTTTACATTTTTCTATAATTTACTCTGTCAAATCTAGCTGAATAGAAAGTAAGTTCCATCTCCGATGTATGTGTGATTTATGAAAACACATTTGGGTTACCGTATTTATTCTACCATGCAAAAGCTTCCTCGTAAAAGAAAAAAATGCCTCATAAAAATTCTTCTGCTCTTCCTGTTTAAATTTTAATTTTTGTATGGAAGGAAGCAAAGTTTAAAGTAACGTTTTTTTAATAAAGTTCGGTAATCTCATTTGCCAAACTGCCGCACAATCATGTCTTTTAGAAAGTGTTTATTATAATTTTGCCCTTTAAAAAAACACAAAAAAAAATCTTTGCAAGCAAAGCAATTATAACAATATTGTGTTAAGTGGCCAAAAAGTGGCAGTTATCCATTTTATTTACTCACTTTTTCTGTTAAAATATGCATTTTTGTATCAAAAATATAGACAAAGTTAAGTCCGTTAAAAATATAAGCAAAATATGTAATCAGTGCCTGTTTTAATATTTTTGTGGCTGATAAATTAAATATTAAGCAAATGCGGTAATCCTTCAAAAGTCTTAGTGGTTGTTAAATACAATTTACGTGATATGTTTTGAAACAGGAACTTGTAAGAAATTAAATTAAAGATTGACAGCTTAATCCAAAATGCTGTCCAATTATCTGTTTTCTAATAGTTTTCGAAGTAATTTAAATAACAATTTTATAATTTCGGATTTCAATTAAATATCGGAAATTTATCCTTACATATTTTATCTTCCTACGACGGATGATAACATTTTGAGATTATTTCCATCATTGCATTTCACATTTTTTTCGTTGGCCAGTTTTTACTACGCAGCATTATAAAATAATCGATTCACCATTAACTACATACAAAACCGCTTCCTGATTATACCCTCAGCCATATGGACACAGAGCGATACGGCCAAAACGTGGCTCATCGAAGTAACGGTTTAAGACCCTAGATGTCTTTGAACCAAATCCGTTTCAGGATATTTGGAGTTGATTTAGCGATATCCGTCTGTCTGTCTGCGCCCGATAACTCTTGAAAGGAGAATCCGATTTGGTCCAAACTAAGTACATCGTAAACTTAGATCGAGTTCGGAGATGTGTAATATCGGTCTACACCTTCTGGTGCCCACAAAAGATCAAGATTTTTAAAAAAATACAGGGTGATATGAAAAAATCTGAAAAAGCGGTGAACTGTCAAATTTGGTTTCCTCCGATGAAAAAATATTCGTTGTCCGGCAGTTTGTAAAAAATATTCGTTGTCCAGCAGTTTGTAAACGAACAAAATGATCGTGTTTACTTGCCAAAGAGGTCAGCTGAAAATGTGCACCTTCGGGTGGCCACCAGAACTCAAGCGCCAGCCATGGTGGTGGTGTGGGCCGCCACAACAGCCGATGGTCGCTCTCCGCTCGTATTAATCGACCGTGGCATCAGAATAAATGCCGAATATTATTGTGAAAATATTCTAGAGGGTGTATTATAGCCTTGGGCACGCAAACATTTTGGCCGCAGACATTGGACATTCCAACAGCACTCAGCACCCGCCACCCAAGAATGGCCGCCACTTTTCTGCACAGAAAGAGAAAGGATAATTCGATTTTACTCCAACTTTGCAAATCCTAATATTTGCATCAGTGCTAGGTCAGGTGCGAAAATGGACAATATCGGCCCACTCTATCAAGTAAATCCCCCACAAAGAGTCCAAAATTTTGAATAATCATAATTCTTATAAAATGTGATGTAAGATTCCGATCGTCTTCAAATTGCACTCATCACAATATTTATTTATAGGTACCTTCTGGTACCTCCCCCACAAAGGATCAAAATTTTATATATCCATGAAGCTCATAAGACCCGAAATGAAGGTCCGATTCCATACATGTTGTGTCACATCAATAATTCTATCAACACAAGATCTGTTATAAAGATGGGATCTATCGGGCCATTCCTTCTGGTACCTCCCCCACAAAGGGTGAAAGTTTTGAATACCCAAAACGATCCGAAATCCAAAAATCCGAAATAAGCATTCTATTTCCTCCATATTTCACACATACCATTATTTGCCGGACAAGCAATTTAACATTTTGAATTGTTAAAATACTCGATACTTGTTTTTTGGTCGGAAAAGCCCAAACCATGAAAACTCAATATTGAACAATTTTGTTTTGTTTTCCATTCACCTTTCGGAGAGAATTGTGTTAAAGAGCGAATATGTTGTAAATGTGCGTTCAAAGAGCGAGCAAATGTGTGTGTGTGTATGCTATTACAATACATGTAACTGGGAAAGAAAACAAGAAAAACGCTCATAATGATAATAATCATAATAATGATGATGGCTGGTTGCTTGGTTGGAAAGTCAAGTCAGCCTGCCTGCCAGGCAGCCACTCATCTAGCCCATACAGCTTTAAGTTATAACGATCGTTCGCTAGCTGCTTTGGATGGTTGGCTTGGCTTGGCTTGGCTGGTTGTCTACAATTTTTATAT